TCTTGTTACCTACTTTATTATTGAACCATTGTTTTTTCTATCTCTCTTTTTTTTTTTTAACCTTATTGCCATCTTGTAGTTTCATTGTATCGTTGTAATGTTTAGCAAATGGGCCTGTATTGTCCTGTAGGAACTGTAAATAAATAAATAAATAAATATCCCCACAAAAGTAGATATCAGTGTAAACAGATAAACCGTCCAATTTGCTTTGCTTTCTTTTGTCAGTTTACTTATCAATGTTACCTATTAGTCAATTTACTCCGATTGCCAAAATGTTTTGATATTATTTTGCAGAATTGGTGATGCAGAGTATGCTGAGTATATGATCTCGCCACATTGTTCAAATTATGACTGTTATTTCTGATCTTTCTTTTAGTTAAGTTTTTGGTGGGTTTAATTTCTTTGTAAATTTTACACTGTTTTTGTTGAGCGTCTCTTTTTTTCCAGAACCATGGCTGACGAGATTACAATCACTCTCAATACAGATCTTGAGCTCTCCAGCTCATCCTCAAACAAGTCAGCGCCTTGCCTCCGAAAGCCTACCAGGCCAGTCAAACCGGGCAAGTACAATCCCAGAGCCGAAGCTATGGCTCCTAGGCAGCCGTTGTCTCGGCCGCAACGAGAGGTCGCTCCCCAGAGATCCACAGCACAGAGGTCTCCAAAGCGCCCAAGGCTGCAAGACCTGCAACGGCGCTCCAGGGTAAGCCTGCCGACAGTACGGAGAATGTTGTTGCCGCCATTCGCTCAATAATTTCAATAATAGAATCACTCTCGAAACAGATCTTGAGCTCTCCAGCTCATCCTCAGACGAGTCGGCGCCTTGCCTCCAGAAGCCCACCAGGCCAGTCAAACCGGGCAAGTACAATCCCAGAGCCAAAGCTATGGCTCCTAGCCAGCCGTTGTCTCGGCCGCAACGAGAGGTCGCTCCCTAGCGATCCACAGCACAGGGGTCTCCAAAGCGCCCAAGGCTGGAAGACTTGCGACGGCGCTCCACGGTAACCCTGCCAACAGTACGGAGAATGCTGTTGCCGCCATTTGCTCAAGAATTTGCCGGGCAAATATCCCAATCATCGCAAAAATCAATTGTGAAACAAAAATTGTTAAACTGTACAACACATGGAGAAATCTTGGGCGTAGTGGGAAAAGAAAGAATGCCAAGCATGTTAAAGATGAGGAGGACCTTAAAACTTCCCTGCATAGTCCGTTTTGGATAGCTACTCCTGACGCACTGAAGTTAATTACTATAGAAGAAGATGGGCAATTTTTACTAGATCAGCTCTCAAGTACGCAAATTGCAACTATGTCATCCTTCAAAGCAGGAAAGCGGAAAGCAGGAAAGAGAGCGTACTGAAAAACCGCAACAATTAGAAAATCTAAAAAAACACCGCCTCGGAAACGAGGCATCAAAGAGGTGCAGTAGAAAATTTCACACGGGCTCTCAAAGTAGCAAAGATCAAGGATTTGAAAGCCTTGATGCCATTTCTAGGTCCTGAGGATCACCACACCCATCAGCTGAGTTTGAATTGGACTTCATTTTGAAAGTAGAAACTAAAATTTTAGGCATAGTTCTGAAATGGAATATGCACCATTAATTTTCTTTCGCATTAAAGTGTTTCTATGGATGAGCCAAACATTGTAGTTCCATGTTGCAATTATTACTTTTTACTGTAATCAAAGAGAAAAAAAGGGGTCATGAAATAAACTTTTAACTTTACATTATTCTTGTTTGTAGGAGAGGATGAGTGCCGAAAACCTAGAAAGACAAAGAGAAGAAAGAGAGAGAGCTGAAAGGAAAGAAAGAGAGCAAAAAGAACGGACATGGCTTCTGGGGTCGGCACTCACCATCCACCGCGCGGTTCTACGAGTTGTTTTCAAATTCAAATGATTTGTGAAGAATTGACGGACACGACTATTTTCGAATAAATTCTCCTTTCGGCGCCCATATAAGTCCGCAAAATTTTCAAAGGTTTGATCCTTGGAGTTTAAAGATTCTAATTATCCCCAGTTTGATGGGTTTTATGCTACCCTTACCTCCACAGCCATGGCAACAGATCCGACAATCAGAACAGCAATAAACGACTTAATTATTAATTGTTCTCAATTACACCTCAACAATATCAAATTTCCAAAAAATCATTTTTAGTATATGTGACGCTGATTCAAAAAATCTATACTTGTTTGGGGTTTTTTTCTACGGTATAGCTGTAATGTCAGTGAACTAAACACGATGGTCTCTCCTGCGACCGAATGTTTCGCGGGCCCCGTATCTGCTCAACAATTCCATCATTGTCATCTTTTGGGGTCCATGTCGTTAAAACTAATATATCTACTACTACGTATATCTTAATATATAAATTGAAAAATAGAATGAAATTGTGAATTAACCTCTGTACTAATTGCGAGGGGCGTTGGTTCATTTGAAAGGTGTTGTACTCAATGCTTCGGGAAAATTATAAATTATTTTCTGGGGTTTATCCCCGATTTTTAAATCCCTAAAAACTCATAAATTGGATGAGGGGAAGTAGGGGTTTTTTCTTTTTTGTTTCTCGGAAAAGTTTTGTTGCTACCTTACTTTACTATTTGCTCTTTTTATCAGCTGTTTTCCTTCAACAATCATCATTAAATGAGGTTACCTCCAACACTCAACTGCCATCAACTTTTCACATTTTTCTTTTCCCGCGTTTTTTTTACGCTTTAACCAAACGACAAAAATATTGAAAAATTACATTTCAAAAGCAGCAGAGAGAGGATTTTCGAATTAAAAGAAAAAATTAAATGAATTTAAATAAGTTTAAATGACTTGAAATGAAAGTTTGGAATATTGATAAAAATATCAGATGACAGAAAAGAACAAAACATTGTTAAATCATATTTTAACTATAATTTCCAGCAGATTGACATAATCCTGTGGAACGAAGCTACCAATGAAATTGAACACGGCGACTTGGGAAAAACCATTTTAATCAACCAAGTAAAATTAGACACATACATCCAAAAAATCAAAAATTCGATTCTGAACTTCGATAAGTATGTGATCTCAGATACTATTCACATTATTAAGTTTAACCACTTAAGGTGATACAGTGTTGACTGAGACTCTAGGTGCCTTGATAGCCTGTGATCATACAAACTGACAACTTTCCACAGGAACTATGGATTATCTACTGGCAAGGGATATTATTCTCGAAGCTCGAGAAAACAGAGCGCAGATTCAGACAACTATTAATGAGAGAAACTTGAGTGTAGATACATCAATTGGAGCATGTCCGGATTTCAGGTCCAACAGATTTTTCTTCATCATCCCAGAAGATGGTGAACATCCCCGACAATTATTCAAGAAGCTTCTGATATTGATCACCTCTGATCGGGTTGCTTACAACACGAGTCAGATGCTCTTTTGTAGCCTGGTCGCGTGCTTTAACGACCAGTGGCAGCTTCAACTTACTAGCCTACTGGTATCACTAAGTGTCACGGTACACCCGATAACCATTGAAACCTTCAAGCAGATATATGAGGAGTTTGAGGATATTGATACAGATAACCTAAACCGTTATGAAAAGATGGCAGCTCCTCATTATGTCTTCATTGCTTGCCTCTTATAAAATCTGATTGGAAAGAGCTTAACCACGCGAAATTTCGCAGAATGGATGGTGAGGAGGCAAAAAACATATTCGAACCCGCTTGAATTACAAGAAACAGATCCATTATTACCCATTCTCTGCCCAAAAGCTCTTTTCGGTGCAAGATTCTATGCGGAGACCAGAACTCACTGGCAACTGAGACGTCTACATTTTAAAACCGTATACATACTTGTGTCAGATATGCCAATCTTTTAAGCCAAATTGGCAACCCTGGTTTAATAAATATAGGAATTAAGCTTAACGTATTTTATTGGGTTTGTTTTAATTTTCTGTTTAGGGTAACAGAGTGGAGCAGTAGCCCGGTTCAACCGTTTTTCACAGAGGCAAGGAATGGACTTGTAGTATTAGAACAAAAGAAGTTCCTTATGTTATTATGTTCCGAATCATTATAAGTAATCATTTTTTTATTTTATTTCAGTAAAATTGATTTTTCATTGTATGGCACGCATAATTATTTCATTGCCAACACATATACCCCATGAAATATATTTTAAAGCCTTTAGGAGATAAGCACGAGTTTTGAGTGCGAAAAGGGCACTTTGTTTTTCAACTTCCGTTCGTCATTTCCGGTCAAACTTTCACAGGATATTTTTTTCCTGCCAGCTTTTTACAGTCAAGAGTTCCAATTTCCATATAAAAATTACGTCTCACTGTTATATTGAATGTAAACCTATAGAAAATGACTTCAAACTTTCAAATGCTGTTATCTTAAAACTCGATTTTCCGAGAAGAGCCCTTTTTGCATCCAAAGCCTCAATTGTCAACCCACAAGCAGTTGCAACTTAATGTTCATCACATTTACCTCTTTTTTTGCATTCCTTTTTATTATTATTCAATTTATTTTTCTATATACTCGTATTTCTATATATATTTATATTATATTCCTATTATTTTTTTTTCTTCTTAGGAAACGTCCACTTACACCAAGCGACAATGCTGACAATGGCTGGTTTTGTTCCTTTCGGTTGGAACCTGACTTTTAGTCTGTTTAATCATGTAGTTGACAATTTTGGAACATGAGTCAGAAGACTCAGCAATTTTCCGGATGATGTGTGGATGAAATGCTTGTTTGTGTCGGCCTCCTATGGTGTAGTAGTTGTAGCGCTTGCTCTATAATCGGGAGGTCCCGGGTTCGATTCCCGGCCAGGCAACCCGAGTTTGATGGTCTCAAACAATGGTTGCCTGGGGCTGGTTCAGTAGGGACGGAGGGGGGATGGGACTTGAAGCGTGGGATTAGCCCTTGTGGGCTATTTGAAGTAGTAAAAAAAAAAAAAAAAAAAAACACCGTTTTCCAAATTTCTTTTTTCCACTTATGTAAAGTGTCAAATTCAAGTAAAGTAAACTGTAAAATTCAGTGGATTTCTATCTATCTAAAAATGTTGTAATTCATTTCTTTTAGAAATAATTATTAGTTCTTGTGAAGTTTTCTGAGTATATATTTCCCTGCACTAACAATTTTGTGTTACGCTGTCTGTGGCATAAGAGTGAGTACTTTTTTTTAAAGAAAATTTTTGCCACAGGTGATTGAAGCATCGACTCCTATGTAAAATTGCTCAAACATAAGGATGAGCATAAGAATGAACCTCTAGAAATAAGGTCTTTTCTAAAATACGTCCTCAATTTTTGAACACTCAAAAAATAAATAAAAGTTATATGATAATATGCAAGTTCCCGGCAAATCTTCTGCAAAATGAAATTTTGATATCATAAAATTTTTACAGACTGTCATGAAAAAGGTGGATGAATTTTATCAGGCTAGGAAAAATTTTTGGCGAACTATAAAGGGCAAAATAATTTTGCTCTGATGAATACGCATGTGATGGTCTCGAAATAACATAATCACAAACAGAGTAATTACCTGAAGAGAAAAACAGAATACGCAGTAATATGAGGAACAACAAGAATCTGAATACACCATATCCAGATTGTCACCAGATGAATCTGGTTCTTCGATTTGCACTACTGGTTCTTGAGCTAAAAGGAGTGAAACGCATTTTACTCAACTCTGACGCTAATCTGTTTTCTTCGTCAGTTTCTGCTTTCCGAAGCCGAGAAATTTCTTCTTCCTCTTTCTTCCTACTCTCTTCCTCCAGTCTTGTTTTTTCTGCAATCTGAAAGAGACACATACATTGATAGTTAGACACTGAGCTCAATAATTCAATGATCAAAATTTGAATATATTGTCTGATAATAGAGAGAAATTCAATTTGAAAATCAATCGGCATAAAATTGACACCTGTTTGTTGGGTATACTTGCACTTTTTTTGTCTGGAGCATTGGAAAATCGTAAAGAATAATTAGTAAAAGTTCAAATGAATTAAATTCATTTGCTTTGATCACAACTGATGAAATGTTACCAAAGGCAGCCCCCTCTCTGCACCCAGCACTCCAATATCCAGAAATAACCATGTCTATCCTATCAACATGCCCATACACCAAAAGGGTCCAATAGGGGTAACATTTTGAGGTGGTTTTCATCTTATGATGTTCTGCTTTAAGCTGTATGAGGCATCAATAACTCTAATTTGAGATTTTATCAACTAAAATCGTTTCTTCCGTAGATGGCCAAACATCACCCTATGTCCTTTTGTATAAAATTATGATTAAATGAGCTGATTCTATCGGTAACTTATGAGAGGTGAGTTAGTCTTTTAAATGCAACTTCCAATGATTAACTTACTAACCGTCTTTGCCTAACTGATGAAGAAACGAAAAAAATATTTACTGTGGGGAAAAAAAGTCAGCACCTTAAAAAAGAGAATCTAGTTTTAAAAAGTTAGATTACGCAAGAATTGTAGCTAAATTAAATAAAATTCGAACATTTTATTTTAAAATATTTTTCTTTTAAAGAAAAACAACAACAATAATCAGACAAGTTGCTTGGATCATTTGAAGTAAGAAAATATGTAAATTGAATGGACAAAATGAATGAGCGAATGAAATGGGAAAATTAATTAGATGCATAACCCTAGAGAAAATATTACCTTGCGGTGAGCTAACCATCACCTTGCGGCAAGGTATCGGCCTTGCCACTCTCTTCGAGCCCTATCCGAGTCCTCGCCGGGTCGGTTCGTAGAACTTAACGACTGGGAATAATTATGCATGGCAACGTTGGAGACGAAAATCAAACCCAACACGGGGTATTTCCCGATGCTGTGTCGCCTTTTCCGCGCCCTGCGTCTGGATTTGGGTCTACAGTGTTGTCATACGGTTTTATTCCCGGTCGTCGAGTTCCTTGAACTGGCTCGGCGAGGGCTCGGATAGGGCTCGGAGAGGATGGCAAGGCCGATACCTTGCCGCAAGGTGATGGTGAGCTCACCGCAAGGTAATATTTACACTAGGGAAAGCTCTGATAAAAAAGGGTGAAAGAGTAGTTCATTGGTTAAGCGATTGAACACGACTTAAAGTCCTTTCTTTGGAGTCAGGAGTCTTAAATATAAAAAACAATTTTTTTAGACCTGAGCTTGTAAGTTATTTTTCCAATTTGTCCTAGATGATTCCAAAGCAGTTTCATGCTTTTTAATTTCATCATTCATGGATTCTACAGATGATAGTAGCGACTCGCGCTCCTCGATCAATTCTTTTTGAGCATCTAAATTCTGTTTCAATTTGTCACTGATCTGGAAACAAAGAACGCGCATCCTTGAAAAAGAGTCAATAAAAAATTGCTATCACTTAAAAACTAAGACAAGTCACCAAAAATTTACTTCCATAGCAAAAGCGTGGTGCGCACTGCATGCAAAAAATTGCCAACCTCCAATACTTCAACTGCTGATATATTTTTGGTACCAGTTTTCCCTGACACAAAGACAGAACAGAAATTTGAAGATCTAAAATATTTGAGTTCAAATATTTTTTCTGACATCTGAATTGAACGCGAACATTAAAACCTCAGAGTTTTGAACTAAATGTATTTAATGCAGGTGAGTTCGAATTTTTATTCAAAAAATTATCCGACCTTGTTGATTATCTTGCAATCAACGGTTGATAAGAAGTTGGGGCTTAAAATTATCTTTGCAGGGACTCTCCTGAGTGCAGGTGCACAGCCAGATTATCACACGTTGAATCACTTATTGGTAATTTGCTGATTAGAGCGTGCTTTTCTGCTGTGATCGTCGGATTTCGTTTTTCCTAAAAAAGAAGAGGTTAAGGAGAGTGGGGTGGGAGGAGTTTGTGAAGAAGATCATCATAGGGGACGCGTCTTTGGTCTGCGGCTACGACCCTGAGATAAAAAAGCAGTCGTCAATTTGGATTGCACCTAGGAGACCTTGCCTGTAGAGAGCTCGGAAGAGTTGCGGCTATTTGAAGACAATGTTGACTGCCTTCTTCGATCATGAAGGTGCCGTCCATCATGAATACCCTCCCCAATGCTCTACTATCAATAAAGAAAGCTACCGAGAAACTTTACATAGCTTATTGGGCCTTGGAGAGCGTATTCATGATGGACGACCCCTTCATGATCGAAGAAGATAGTCAACATTATCTTCACATTGATGGGACTCTTCCAAGCTTTCAATGGGCGAGATCTCAAAGGTGCGATCCAAACTGACAATTGCACTTTTTTCTCAGAGTCGTAGCCGTAGACCCGAGACGTGTCCCCTGTGATGATCTTCACAAACTCTTCCCACCCCACTCTCCTTAACTTCTTCTTTTTTAGGAAAAACGAAATCCGATGATCACAGCAGAATACTACGCACTAATCAGAAAATTACCAATGTATGATAATCCGGCTGTGCACCCGCACTTAGGAGAGTCCCTGCAAAGATAATCCCAAGCCCCAACCTCTTGTCAAACGTTGATGGCGAGATAATTAACAAGGTCGGATACTTTCCGAACAGACTTCGTATAGTACAACAGGCATTTAAATGCCTCTTGTTACGATAAAATATTGTTGGCAACTTTGTGCTAATTCAGACTCACTGCAAACAAACTTGAAATTGAGGCCTGAAAATACATCCGAGTTGAGCAGATTTCTGACCTAAGTAAAATACTAATTTCAATTTTGGCCGCAAAAATATTCCTCTTCAGTCTAAACCCTCCTGCTTTTAAGATAGGATGCTCAGCTATGGCTAGAGTTCAGCTTCCAGTTGTGCTAACCTTTCAACTTTAGATAACGTTTTGGAAAAAAGCACTGAGCCGTATTTGAATTTATTTTCAGTTAAAAATGTTTTGATAGGTACACACCTGTTTTTCTAATGTACCTATGACTTCTTTCATCAACTTTTCCCTGGCTGCTTTTTCCTGTTTCCACTGTTTCTCTTGCTGTTCCCAAAGCCGTTTTGCTTCTTCACTGCACAAAAAATAATACATACATATTTACAAAAATGTAAAGGATAAGCCATTTTTTTCGTGTTTTTTGTTATCAATGATATCTTTGATATACGAGACTGTGGTAAACTTTTAGAGTTCTGTTTAAGATGAGAAGGAAGAAAGTCTGACACTAAAGTGCTTAAAAATCTTATTTAATGCATCAACAGTTTTCAGTTCACTACTTGGCTCGTAAATAGGTGGTTATAATGTGAATTTGTGAAATTTTAGTTCTGAGAGGTATAAGACTAGTAATAGTTTGAAAGAAACTTCAGAGAGACGTTGTTATATCTTTACAATTTGCTACAGGAAGAAAGTCTGACACTAAAGTGCTTAAAAATCTTATTTAATGCATCAACAGTTTTCAGTTCACTACTTAGCTCGTAAATAGGTGGTTATAATGTGAATTTTTGAAATTTTAGTTCTGAGAGGTATAAGACTAGTACTAGTTTGAAAGAAACTTCAGAGAGACATTGTTATATCTTTACAAATTATCGCAGAAAATGCTAGAAACTTACTAAAAAATAAAATCCAGCTGTTTTTCTCGCTTCTTCTCCAATTCATTCATCTCTTTCAGCAGAGAATTGACCCTTATCATCTCTTTCTTGATTTCTTCCTTTCTAGCAGCGTCCAGCTCTTGTTCTTCTAGAAGTGCCTTTGATATCCTGTCCAGTATTTTCTTATCCTCAGCCAATTCTTCTTGCACTTCCATTGTTTGTCTTTTCAATTTTACTTCATATTGTCGAGTTAAAAATTGGCTGAAAATCAGAACAAAACGGATGATTGAATTGAGGACATTCATGCACCAAAAGCTTGTTTTGCAATAGCATTAGTACCAGGCATGACTGTATTCATGAAAAATCTCCACTGGGCTCATATTACATAGGCAAAGTAGCAAAACTTGCTGCGCTGTTTGCAACAAAAGGAGAAGACACACTAATTTTTTTTATCATGAGATGAGACACTTATGGTTCAAAAATATTGGTTCTATGTTTTAAATCAAAACAATAGTAAAATATTAGAAAAAAAATGTTAGAGAAAATGCTTTCACCTCAGTTAACTCTTAAACACTTTCGGTTGGATCAAACGTACCAGTCTGCAAGGAAATTAATGGATGAAATTATTAACTCAAAAATCACCTGTGCTCTTTTTTCTTTCTGTGAAGCTCAATCAATTCCCGATGGACGTTGATATCCTCTAACTGTTTCCGTAGAGCTAACTCTCGCCTTTCTTGTTCCTTCAATTCTTCTGTCCTCCTTTCTTTCTCCCTGAAAACCATTAGAGGGAAGATTTTAGCTTATATTAAAATAAATTTAAAACCGGCCGTGCGAATGCTGGTCGTTTAAAACGACAGGTTAGCTCCTGCAGAATACATCCATACCAGTCCGATCAACTAGCATGGCAGTCAACAAGTTGACTTTTTACAAATGCCTGGAAAAAGAAAATCTGGAAATTTTGGCGGAAGTTGAACCATTAATGCTCAAAAATGAAGGGGATATAAGTCCTTAGGTTCCGAAACAAAAATTCCTAGTTTGTGGGAGAACAGGGCTCAAGCTTTTGAAAAAAGTCAAGTTAAATTTTCTCCCAGAAAATAAGGTCCTTTTGGAGACGATGAAGAACATTGTATCATTACTTACTTTTTTCTCCAATATTAATCGTAATTGTAATGGCAGTTAATTTTTCTGTAATTGTGATTGCATTAAAAAATCCTCAATCCCACAGATCTACTTCATACAGTACGTGATGTTCAGAAATGAAATGCATAAAAAAGGAAAAAAAATCATTCCATTCCGGTCCATGGATGAAGCAATTCAAAATGTATATCTACAAGTTTAACCTCCTATGCTGCGCTGATAAAGGTAGCAGCATTGTTTCAAAAGGCTAGTTACACGATGAAAATAGAAAAAATGAATTTAAGAGTAGATCTAAAAATACAAAGAGTTGTGACAAGAAAAATTGATACTCACTTCAGCAACTCTATTTGATGTAATAGCTGCTGCTTCAAAGCCGCAGCTTCTGCTTGCTTCTTCTTCAGAGCTTCTTTTGCTCTCTCCTCTTCCTCCATTTTCAACTCTGCTTCCTTCTTCTCCAGTTGCTTGTTGAATTCTTCCTCTCGTCTTTTTTCCTCTTGTTTTTCTTTGATTTGATCAACCCAACATTGTTTTACGAATTTTTCCTGCTGCTGTCGATGGAACTGTGGGGTGACAAAGAACTTACGATGGTAAATGCAACTAATTTGTTATGAAAAGATATACAATTGGAAACAAATAATACAAACATGATTTCTTCGACAGATTTCCGACTTTTCCCGCTGAATTGACTGTTAAACAAGGTACAAAATTAAGCACCACAATATTTATTTCCCAATCAAAATTTTATGTAGAATACGAAGGACGCATTAGAAATAATGATTTTTGTGTACATAAATTTGCACTTCCTACACACGAAAAAATGTCGAGTGTACTCAAGTCAAATTGAGCGCTAGACTTATTTTTGGGATATTTTACAATAGAAAAATATCCCCATTCAGCAACTTATTTTGTACAAGATTAAAGATAACTTGAAAGAGGAAGAGGAAGGACATGTGTGTATAACCACCGTGTGCTCTAATTACTTGACTAATAGACAGATTGATTTCACTGCCTGGTATGGCGTATGTTGATTATGGTGTTTTCATGAGCAGGAAGTTTGAATATTCTAATTATAATGTAAACTTTAAACAAGCTTGCCAGCAAAATTGTTGATGCAATGAGCTAAAGGCTTTTTTCTGAATTTTTTAAACCTTGAGATGCATGTATCGAAAAGATTTGATTATTCAGTTGTATTTTGTTAAGAAGTTTTCTGAGGGAAATTATAAGTAGAACGTTGCTTCCTGAAAATTTAAATTCGAGAAATGCTTCAATAAGAAAAGACTAGTTGTCGCTTGAAAAATGCACATTGTTTCTGAAAAAACGTTATTTTGAGAAATGTTATATCAAGATACGATTTTAGCTGTAGCTGATGAAATTTAAATGTTTGATTGTTAGTGCAAACTTACATCCCGAAGGACAGGTTGATTGGATTTCCATACTAAATAATTTTTAAGTTCGGCCTCTCTCTTCCTGGATTCCTCTTCCTTCATTTTCATTTCAACATTGAGATTTTTTAATTCTTCCAAAGGCATTGTTTTTAGAACACTTCCACTACCGCTCCTAGTTCTCCTTGACCTCTGAAATGAATGAAAAATTACTAAAATAAACAGAAGAATAAAAAAAAGACAGAGGCATTTCAAATAAGTTACCGGAAGTGATATCGGAGATTCAGAAACTTGGAGNGGCGTCGCACAGCGCCAAAGAGCGCTATAAAAGCGACTCATATATATATATAAAAAAAAGACTAAAATAAGATTTTCTTCTCTAAATCTGTTCTTACTTAACACATTAATAAAATTGGAGCTGAAGGTGGGTTTCCAGATTTTGGTTTGTCAAATCGCTCCATGTTGCAGGATATTGCAGATTTCTTTTTAGCAATACATCAGGTCAGGACACAACAATTGACAGTTCTTCTAAACTATTTAATTATTCTGTATTAAGACTTTATGAATTTTTAAAGATTAATTGTGATATCTTTTTGAACTTTCAAAACTATGGAAGGAAAATATGTTCCACAGACCAAGGGTTAGGGAGAAGGGTGCAAAGGATAAAGTCAAAGAGCTTACTTTCAGTTCTTCGTTGTATTCTTTTTCTTCAGCATGGAGGAATGCCGCTAGTTTTTCTCTCCTTTCGATTAACTTTTGTTTTTTCTTCTCATTTTCCACCCGCTTTTCGTAACCTTGAAAGCTATGAATACAAAATAAAAAGATCAAATGAGAATACTGTTGGACAAATTGACAGACATGAACCATGTGCAAATAATCGTTGGTCCCTGATCTGTTTAAAGTACTTTAAACCGTTTTCAATGTGAATATCTCACCTTTAAAAGTACAAACAATGACATTATATCTACCCTTCATTCAAAGGAAGGCAGAAATTAATACCTTTGCATAAATACTCCATCAGTTTTTATTTTTTGTTCTTAATATTCACTATCCTCCCTCCCAAATTTTGCCAAATTTTCTTGCAACTGTAAGCTTGTAGCTTGAATAGAGTTTCCCTTGTTTAGAAGTGTTGTTTGAGTTGTATCTTGTAAATTTTGTTGTTCTATACACTTACTTTAACCACCCTTTGATTTCCCACTTGACGGATAAATAGCCATTGAAGTTAAGGCATCTGACAGAGTAAAATTAACATAAGACTCCTGCTTTCCTTTCTTAAAATTCCGCATTATCTCAAGCCCTTTTCTTTCAATCTCTAATTTAAATTTCTCCTTATTCTTTGCAGATTCGGTTTAAATGGAACTCGGAAAGAGACTATTCAAAAATTTTAATTGAAAAAACCTTGAAATCGAGGAAGTCATGCAACAAGAAAGAATGAAAAAAATTACCTAGAGTTATAATACTCCGGTGAAGTCCAAGCACTGAATTTGCTGGCTCGAACATCCCAAACTTGGAAATATTTAGTGACGTGATTCCAGTGTTCTCTGTGCAGCGATTCAGCATTCCTCTTACGAACTATGAGTTCTTCCTCACGGCGAGCCGAGTACCGCCCACTGTTCATTTTACCGTTGGATCTGCACAGACATTAAATTAAATAATTATAAATTTGTATGAAATATCTCATCTTGCACGTCATTCTCCTGATGTAAGGGCTTGAATAAATATAGAGGTGAGCCCTGCTGTCTATACGACGCCTTACTTTCTACAGCTCATGTGAAAATAAAGTTACGCCTTTACATCAGAGAAGCAACAACTTTTGTCGTTGGCACTCAAGAATCTCATAGATTCTTTCATTCTTCCGAGGCATACCTACATCTTGACTATAATGGCTGATGCACCTATGCATCGATCAAAATGAACTTTAACGTAAAGATCAAATTTTGATGATGACCGTGTGATACTTGTTTTTCCCCATAGATAAAAACCTCATTTTTCTACTTTTTTACAGATTGAGCATATGAATTGGACGTACATACAAATGATCATACTCAACCTAATTCTGCCGCGCAACGTAATAACGCCGTATGAGCATTTCGAATGTTGCTAAATTTCCTCTCAAAAATATTTATTTTGAGGAAAGATATGAATCTTTTTCCTTGAAATTTTTAGACTTTGTGGATCAAATTACGAATGAAACTCTCTGAAGAATTTGAAGAGGAATACCTATTCTCGAATTCTCCTGAAAATTCAAAATTTGTCGAAGGGAATTTGGCAACACCTGATGCCTCATACGGCGTTCTTCCTTAGCACGGCAGAATTGGACTACTTTTGGAAATCAGGCACCAAAATTTCTGGCTCAGTTTAAAAACAACGTACGTACCATTCGTTGCCCTAAAGACACATGTGTTTTTACGAATAAGCAGAATATTTTCGTTCCGAATTTTCTGTGAAAAAAATGTGGAATTTATCTACACAGTTTTTCAGTTTTTAGAAAAGCATGAATACCCGAATCCGTATAGCAAACCTTCCTAGATCAGTGCTCAGTCCCGATATCCCCCAATAATAGAGATAGGGATTGTTCAGCTCGACTGACGCGAGATCTCTCGAAGAGTGAGCATGATAAGTGAAATTATTTTATTTCTATTTTTAGGGGGCTTTGATGACGTCATTAAATTCATATATTTTTAAACTAAGGAACCGCCCCGCGCTGGAGGAGGACTTCCGTCAGTCATTTACATACCTAGGCTTATATTTCTATTGAGACGTTCCAAAACCACGTAGATGTATCTCATTTTGCGACGTTGCAAAGATGTCTGTTTTCCACTTATTTGAATCTTCGAGAAATTTCAGGAGGATCCGGGATATTCTGTGGTTAAGATCCAAAAAAACGCAACTATTTTGAAAAAAGCGAGTTTTTTGGATTCTCGACGTACTCGGTAAGGGATCTATATGGGTAAAAAAAATAATTGTGATATCTAAAACCACGCCCAAGATACACGGATTTTGATTGCAAAATACACTGCAGGCAAAACAACTGTAGCATGGTTTTCCTCCAACTTCGCGAATCAAATAAAATGTAGTTCTGTTACAGTTCTTTGACCCATAACTGCGGATGTGGTTCTATGTATGTATCGTAACAAATTCGATATATGACTAAATGAGGGTTTACTCGGGCTAATTTTTTTTAAAAAAAAAACGGACCGACAAAATAGTCCATATTGCAGGTGTAAACATATAATCAAATTCTGAAGTTGATTGGCTCGAAAGTAAAGCCAGAACCGCGGACGCAAAAATTGCATCAATCGACAATTATTGATATCGATATCGATCAATTAGTCGATTCTGAATCACCCGAGCAATATTTATTTTGAGTGTCTCTCGGATGATTATTTGCAATTTCACGAAAAATGGAGAACTTGTTCGGCGAAATTTTGCTCTCGGACAACCCGAGGTCCATTTTCTCAGAACTTCATTTCTGAAGTTACCATTTCAGAATTTTCCGAGGGCGGTCTCCCTCCCACGTAACCCACCAGAACAATTCGGAGCGGGAATCAGTCATCTCAGCCTCAAAATGTCCCACCTTAAGAAAATGTACTCACTCTGTAAAGACGTCAAAAGTATGCGCTTGAGGAAAAACGATTAAAAAAAAATTAAGTGCACTTGAGGCAAAAAGATTTAGAAACCAATGCAGGGTGTCTACAAAAATTGAATTTTGGATTTTCCTGATTATTCTTGATATTTTAGCCGAGACTTCCTGATTTTTCGCGCGAATAAATTGGCACTCGTTTGATTTGAAAAATCAATGATGAATTACATCAATTTTTTGAAAAATACTTAAAGCACAAGGAATTTCCTGACCCATAACCGATTTGCCGGAAATCGTTCTGACTATTTCTGATATAATCGAATTTCCCGATATTTTCCGGCTTTTACTGATTATGGACACCCTGCAATGTGTGTCATGACTTTCTTGACTTGACGAAAAAAAAACCCTTTCACGGAAAAATGTCCTCGCGAGTTTCTTACTCCGCGCCCGAGGATTTTCTGCGCCCCCGCATACGCGCGCGTGGAAAACCCGGAAAAGCCGAGAGGGAAAAGGGAGGTCAGGGTTGTGCGTTGTCTTGAGCGGCGAATAGTCTCTACAGTTGCGCGGAACCATCTTGACCTGCCGCACAGTGGACCGAGTCAATCAGGGAGGTCGGACATTAAATTTTTGACTAAAACTGCAAATGTTGATGTTTATTTCGTCTCCTTTTAAATTCTAAGGGGTGCTTTAAGAAGAAAATTTCACAAGGAATTCGATGGAACCACTTTTGGGACCTCAAAATTTTAGATGAACGGAGATGTACGCGTTTGAAGTTTCCAAATTATTTCCGACCTCTCCTATTAACTCGATCCATTGTGCGCCGATTTCCGCCTGAAAATACGTCGTTTTCCGGACGAAGGAACTTAACTCCATTCCAAGGTTGCAAAATTGACTCGAACAACTCAATTTTTACAAAAATACACCCGCACCATTTGTGTTCAAAATTGTCGTAATTTTTACATGGGATCGGAAGAAAAATCACTGAAGTTTTCAGTTTAAAATTTCCAAAATTATTTTGATAAAAATGCAATTTGCGGAGAGGAAATTAGGTAACATTGAAATGAGGGGCTCGAAGGACAAGGCGCATAAGTGCAGTTTTTGAAAAAGTTGAAACACTAATGATTTCAAGTGAAACTAGTCATATTCTGTGAAATTTTCGCTCCCAAATTCCAATTTCAAATCCATCAAAAAGTCAGTTTGAACTTTCTTTCCGCCATTAGGATCCATGGAATTTCGAAACTTCAAACAAGTATCCTTCGATGTAGCAAAAACTGCACTTATGCGCCTTGTCCTCGAAGCCCCTCAAATGTAGTTAAGTTCTTTCGTGGGGAATACATACTGCCGTGCTAAGGAAAAACGCCGTATGAACCTTAAGGCATTGCCAAATTTCCTTTGGTAAAACACGAATTTCCTGGTAAACTTATGAATATTTTCCTTCCGATTTTTCAGATAATTTTGTTCACAACTTCATCTGAAGTCTCTGAAAATTTCAAGGAAAAATATTCATATCTTTCCTGAAAAATAAACATTTTATCGAAGGAAATTTGGCAACTCTTGAATGCTCATACGGCGTTCTTCCTTAGCACGGCAGCATAGTGGTTGCAGGTAGCCTCCATCTGCAGGCCGATTATTGAAACTGATAGACAAAGCTATAGACAAAGACGACAAAAGAGATTTGGAGGGATTCTATTGGTGGAAGCGGGTGGTGGCAATGGACATAGGAGGTGGGTAATGGACTAACTAACGGCAACCCACCAAAGACCCGACAGTTCGTCCATCATTTTCTTCCTTAGTCTATTAGAACCAACCATGTCAACCAATAGGATCGCTCTATACTCCCTATGTCTTCTTTGTCTATCGCTTTGTCTATCAGTTTCAACGATCGGCCCGCTGGAGTGGCGGAAGCCGAAGACTGAGAGCGGAATAAAGCTCGTCGGAGGCGCCGGAGCTGAAAAATCAACAGAGAAAACAGCGCGAGAAAAGCGAGACTGCAGCCAAAAACGCCCACGCGTTTTGCGACTAATTCCACGGGCGACCACCGCTCGCCCAGTGCTCCCTCGCTCTCCCGATTGAAACTTTTCCCCGTTATGTTTCCGAAAATATAACGCTGTTCCCCGTTCTCCACGAAAAATTCGACTGTGATAAAACTCGGAGTTCGGCGATCGAACCTGAGGAGTGAATTCAAATATTTCGTGTGCTGTATTGTGTAGTTGGGATTTTGTGCCTCAGTTCAATCCGGCAATAGCTTCCGTGTTTACCCGAAAGTTTAAGACTTACGCGAGGATTATCAGTTCACGAGGTTTGTTAGTTTTCCTTCGTGCTAAATTGAAAAAAGATATTCTTCCCTCTTTTCTGCTTCCTACATTACGCTTCGATTAACCAGTGCTCACTCCGCAATAACGATTTTTCGTCGAATTTAATGAAAAGTGCTAAAATCATATGTTGAGCGTGTGCTGCGACTGCTGCGTATATATTAAGTGCACTCGCCGTTGTTAACCCACATTGGAGGATACAGAAAATTGGCAACATTGTTTTTTCTCCATTTAATTCTATGAAAATGTATCGATTCTTGGAGGACCCAGGTGCTCCGACAAGAATCGATTATTTTACATAAGTTTAAATGGAGAAATCCGGCGTTGCCAAATTGCTGGATCCGCTTCTGTTAATCCATCCTGTGTGAACTACCCTCATGGTTGACTCTTGATACCATCTATGTAGCAAAAAGAATTCTGAAGGGTTGTACGGATGAAACACGATGGTAAAAAGGTTACTAGGTTCCCTCCTACGTACAAGATGATTCAAAAGTCCCACATGATTCCTATACCACTAGGATTTTTGTCCGTTTTCACAGTGGTCCCTCAAAAATTTCAGGTCACTAGAGTCGTATTCTTCGACTTAGAAGTACTTAAAAAATTTCAAGTCAATTTTTCAAAAGTTACAGGGTGATGCCTGATGCTAGCGGCAAGGGACTTGTGGATCATTCTGTGTGATGTCTGGGAACTCCAGAAGCCAAAGCCAACACAACAGGGTTTAATTTCGCCCATTAGGCACTTGGTTAACACTATCGGACTTGATCTGCTACTAGGGCACGACCACTACGCCGTGGATCCGGACTGTACCAAAATGGAGAGGGTGAAAAATGCTCTCACAGGCACTTGTACTTTCCCTCATAACTTGTCACCTTAATGAGAAGAAAACTCTGAAAGAGGTCGCTCAGATTTGAGGGCGGCGTTATACAGCTAAGGCGAAAAAAAAAGCTACTACGTAAAATAATGACAGCGAATTTTCCTCTACGCAATAGAGACAAGAAGAAAAGCGGGTCTTGTCATGCGAATATGCTTCGAAATTTCGTGCACGCCCATTGCTTCCTATCGTCTTATCATAGTAGAAACCTTTAGCATCACATCCCCAAGAGGCATTTTTCGGCGGAAAAATCGCGATATTTTGAAACATGCGATTTTTGTACGACTTTTTGGAGAAAAAATCGCTGGGATCATCAACATGTGAGCGATTATCCTCGATCTTGTCGGAATTTCGTTTCAATTTATTACGATTATTTGTTCGATAATATTGCAATAACTCGATGTCGATTAAATCGCGATACATGCTCCGATCAAATCGCAACTGATCGCGACCACTGCCTACAACTTGGGTTCCCTTTCACTGTATATTTGAGAGCACGTTTTACAGAAGGGCTGAAAATACGATTGTTTATGACGCGATACCCAAACAATCGACTTGGGACATAGTTCCGCCATTACGATTATTTGTTCGATAATAATGCGATCAATCGACGTCGAACAAATCGCGATACATTCTCCGATCAAATCGCAACTAATCGCGATCACTGCAACTTGGGCCCTCTTTCACTGTGCTCAAGATTACGTTTCCCCAAAGGGCTGAAAATACGCTTTGTTTATGACGCGATACCCCTAAACAATCCGACTTGGAACATAGTTCCGCCATTACGATTATTTGCTCGATAATATTGCAATAAATCAACGTCGATCAAACCGCGATACATTCTCCGATTAAATCGCAACTAATCGCGATCACTGCAACTAGAGTCCCCTTAAGATCACGTTTCCCAAAGGGGCTGAAAATACTATGTTTATGTTGCGATACCCAAACAATCCGACTTGGAACATGCCCGGGTCCGCTTTTACGATTATTTGTTCGATAATATTGCGATAAAATCGAAGTCGATCAAATCGCGATCCATTCACCGATTGAATCGCAACTGATCGCTATCACTGCAGCATGAGTCCCGTTAAGATCACGTTTCCTGAAGGGGCTGAAAATACGTTTGTTTATGACGCGATACCCAAACAATCCGACTTGGAACTAAGTTCCGCCCGCTGACTCAGAAGCGATATCGACGGTCGAAAATTGGCAGCGACCCTCGAGTACGTAGCGTCATAAAATGACGTCACGTCGTGAGGCAGTCGTAGTTACACTTTAATTTGATTGCAGCATATTTTGGGAAGATATTAACACGACGTACATCACTACTAAGGCATGCAATTTCGATTTATTCGCATCCCGCGCCACCGGTCTTTGCGCTCATTAAACGTGATGAAGAGGGAGCTCTCGACGGAGTTGTGTGACGGCAACGCTACGTCGCGTGGGCGAAAGGTTTCCCGTCGAAGTGACATTTCCGGCATAAAGTTTTAGTGCGTGTGTGTGTCCCGCGAGATGGTTACCAAATTTCAGCGAAAAACACCCTGATTCGTAAAACGCCGCCGGCTTTACATATTCTACCAAAATATCGCTTTCCCAAGAGGTATTTTTGGACTTATTTGTAAATAGAGACTACGATTTCTGGCTCAGTTTAGAAACAACGTATGTACCATTAGTTTCCCCATGCACAAAAGTGTTTTAACGGATTTAGTGGACTAAATTTTGTAAATGGAGACTACGATTTCTGCTTCAGTTTAGAAACAACGTATGTATATACCATTAGTTTCCCCATGCACACACGTGTTTTTACGGATGCCCTTTTAGAACCGGAGTTTGTAGTTCCTGATACCAAGATGTGGTTCATTTGGACGGATTTAACCAAAATCCGCCTAACGACAGCAGACGCGGCCTGATTTCCGCTAATCTTATACTAATTTAAGAAAAAATCGATTCTTTAAAAGACATCAAATTCAGTGTATTTGCAGTCAGAGTTTAGTGTACCGATAACAAAATCAGATTGAACATTCCAAAGTAATTGACCTTAAGCGGTTATTTCTTCTGCGATATTTAAAAGATGCAGAAAAGAGGCTTATGATTTGAGGAATGAGAAAAAAAACATTGCTTTCGAAATCGGTTGATCGTATCAAAAACTTGCTCTAGAAAACGCTATTGTTTACGAGTTGATGCCGATAACATTAATGTAATATTCAGAATCTCGACAATCTCCATAATAACCAAAAGGACACTGAGCAGGAGCATAAGGTTCCCCTCGAAAAAATTGAGGTTAAAAGCTCTTCCAACTTTCTGAATTAATCATCAAGAGGGAAGTTTAAGGTTATTAATTAATTGAAGTTCAAAATAATATGTTTAATATTTAAATGATGTTAATAATCATTGATTCCAAAATGGCACTGATAAAACAAAGAAAAACTATTGATTTAGGGATATTGATATACTTAATCCATCCTCAGCTCCGCAAACTTGGTGGACATAAATTCATTTATTTGCAATTCTTGGACTCCATGCAGCACTAATTAAACCTACCTCGTCAAAAAATTTGGTTTGCTTTTCAATTACTTTATTTTTGTATCAATTATATCGGTATGAGGCCAGCGGGAAAAGAACCATAATACGATTGCCTCAGAAGCAACAAAAAATTAAACGCCTCCACTTGAGCTCACACATGATGTGACTGGGGGTCGAGAACGCGTGAGAAGGGAAACGCAGAGAAGGGGTGCAATAATGGAATCGTTCAAGCGAAAAATACCCACGTGAACTTGCTACTTGCGGTGCACCTGCTTTTCCCAGAATACATGCCCTAGAACAACTTAAAAACATTTAGGGAGGAGCTTACGTGCTTGTTCACGACTTGAAGAGAAGGGATAAAAAAATACAAAATAAAAAACTGCAGATTAATGAATGAAAAAGGGACCGACATATCTTTTGAGGGGAGGAGAAATAAGCATGAAGGGGAGGCTGGTGGTAATGGTAGGGGATAAAGCATTGCACTGTTTTAGCTCATAATGTTTTGATGATGTCTTAAAAAAAAATTAGTTATTCACGAGTAACTTCCCTTCATGGCCTTAAAACAAAGATTCAAAGACTTTGAGGATGGAGGTCATTGAGAAAAAAAAAGAAAAAAAAGAAAGAAAAAATCGACGGTTAAAGCCCCAAACCACGTATCTCGTTAGCGGTGTTTAAAACTCTACGCTTTCATTCTATTTTTTTGAAGGAGAACAAACCAACACCATTCCTCGAAGTTTTCACAGGATTTTCTTCGTACAAAGAAAAATCATGAAAGTTTTAGAGATGTTGAATAGTTTTCCATTTAAAAAATAAAGTATAACAGGAAGTCTACAACATCGCAAATTGAGCTATATAGTCTAGTAGTTTCACCGTCGATATGTTTTAGAAGATAAGATGACGGTGATACATACAGCTTGTCAGTTGAAACGGCGCGGTGCCGAATCAGATGGAAACAAAATCGCTACTAGTTCGCCTTCAAATTCGGCGATGCCACCCAACCTCACACCGAAGTTAATTAAGTTGCATCCATCGATTGGATGTATTCTGAGTGTTGCTTTCTATTTTGAGGACCTATTCCTTGCTTCAGAGAAATTGGATTAACTGACAGACGCCCGAAGTCATGCTAGGGAAAAACACCATATGAACAGTTGAATGATGAGAAACGCCCTTCGATAAATACTAGTTTTAGGGAAAATCTATACTATAAGCTCCAAGACCTCCTAATTTTGCAAAACTGGTGACGCTTAGTTCCAGCGTTCTACCGGGCCGATTTTCATGATTTTTGCGGCTATCGACGGGCAATTGTCTCTAGATAAGCCAACTCTTTTCAGATTTTCAAAATATGGCCCAGGTTTTTTTATATTACGTGGTAAAGTTGCGAATTCTCCCATTTAAACAATGTAAATTTATACTTTTTGTCATAGTTCGTTTGAGCGTTCTACCGGGCCGATTTCCATGATT